AGTAATGAAAATGGAGAGCAAACAAAAAGCATGACATTTTAGGGAGGGCTATGGACCCACACAGAATTGTACAAGTGAAGAGCCTAGAACACAGCAATGGAACAGTTTGCACGCAGGAAACACACGCCAAGTTCTTAGGGCAGCTGGAATGACACCGTGCGTTTTATTAACCTATGTGTACAAATCAGGAAAGAAAAGACAGAGGACCACAGAGTAAGTGGGGTTAAAGTGTTTTCCAGTTTTTGCATTTCCAAGAGGTGTATAAAATTTTGTTTTAGGCTCTTTATGATTAAAAAAATGTAAAAGATATTTTGTGATTACTAACAGAATATTAAAGAATAGATAATTAACAAACTTAAAGAGAAGGTTAAATTACAATTCTAATCACTCCAAAAGGAGAGCAGAAAGAGATTGACATCAACAGTGAAAGAACTTTAGACTCCAATTAAAAGACTAAGATGGAGGCTGGAGTGATGGCTCGGCGATTAGGAGTGACTGTGGCTCTTCTTGAGTTCCCATCATCCATGTCAGGCAGCTCTTAAACAGCTATGGTTGCAGCTCCACAGGATTTGACACCTCTGCCCTCCACAAGTATCTGAGCTCACATGCATGTATCTACAAGCACACACACACACACACACACACACACACACACACACACACACACCCCTACACATACATAAAAATAAAAAAAATTAAAAGACATAGATTGGATTTTTTAAAAACTGCATATGCTTCCATCTTGGTAACACATTTGAAATGCAAAGTCACAGTTTGACAATAGGATAGAGTAAAATATAGCCGGAAAAAATGATAACCCAAAGAATTCTGGCAGGAATACAGTATCTATGGAGTTGATGTTTTTAAGGCAAGAAATATCACTAGAAATGAAGTGAGCATTTGAGAATGATGAAAAATCAGGATAAAATCTGTATGTAGCTAATAACCATGAGGGGCAGAAAGTGTGAATGGAGGATACACACACACACACATAAATATATAAGTGTGTGTGCTTTTTATTATTTTTAATTATAGGGAGCCTAAGATAAATTCTTTTACACCTCTTGTAAATGCAAAAATCACACACACACACACACACACACACACACACACACACACACACACACACACACAC